GCCAGTACTCGGGCATAGATACGCCGTCGGACATGCAGCAGGGGCTGGGCGACATGGCTGGCTTCTTTTACGGCATCTCGCGCCTGATCCTGCCGTCGGCGGCTTACGACCACTTTGACGGCACCTACCGCTTCCCCGGCACCTTCCTCTTCGACCACGACCGGCTGGAGAAGCTCAGCTCGGACGCGGTTGACGCCATCTGCCTGGACATGTGCATGAAGCTGTACGATGATCTTGAGCGCGTCTCGAAGATCGCGCAGGCGATGCCAACCTCCTTTGGCAGCAGCCTCCTGCCGCCGACTTCGGTGCCGTCTTACGTGCTGGACGACGACGGCTCTTCACGCTCCCGCTCCAACCGGTCATCCATCAACTTCGACTTCAACACATCGCCCTCGCGGCCCTCGAGCCTGGCCGGCTCGGCCGCGTCTTCGCCACGGACATCGGCCTGCATATTCCCTCCTGCACCGTCAAACCCGGCGCTCGACTCGGCCGACGCACGGGCAAGTTCAAAGAAGGTTTACGCGTCTCTTGTCGACCTCGTGCAGACAGCCGCGCCGGCGTCGAGCGCGGCGCACAGGTGGAGGGGGCTGGGCCCGACGTGGCGCTGCAGATCCTGCGCTCGACCGAGGCGCCGCTCGACATGCTGCCGACAATTGAGCGCAAGCTCGACTTGTGGTTGTCCAACTGCCAGAGCGAGCAGTTCCGGGAGGCCGAGCAGGCGTTCCACTCCAAGCTATTCGCCGAGCTGGCCGGCCGCGTCCGCGAGTACAAGAACCTCTCGGGCCTGGGCCTGTTCTCGGCCGCGATGGGGAGCAGACTGCATAGCGGGCCCGGCGGCGTCGTGGCGACGTCGTCCTCGTCCAGGGAGGGGGCCGGCGGCGCCGCTGCCCAGCCGCCGTTCCTCCAGGTTTATAGGGATGGCAGCGGCAGAAATGGTGGCGCCCGCGAGGAGCATGGCGTCGAAAACATGGCGACGCGCCTTGCGCACCTGGGGATCCTGCATTGGAGGGTGTGGGCCGACATTGCGTACCGCGAGGCCGAGCTGGGAAATGACGAGCCTACCGAGGTTTCCAAGTCTGCGGTCCCCGTACATTCCCAAGGGGGGTTGCTTGATAGGCCGTGATTGGTGTTTAGGCGAGAGATGCATCAACACTGGCGAGATCCTATTCGGCCACTCTGCTTCCTCTCGATGGCCAACCAAACCCGGGAAACTACGGGGATGATCCAACTGGTGGTGGGTGGGCAGCAATGACGACGAGGTGCGTTGCGGTTTTTTTTCTAGGCGGGCGGCGGAAGGCATTGGGCTATTTTTTTCCGGCCTTGTTCTTAGTGTTTGTGTGTTTGCACCTGCACCAGTCTATATTATTCATCCTGTCAGCCGCAAGGCATTCGTGTCAGCCGCAGGGCATTCTTAAGCATATACAGGGCTCATGTGCTATAAGGGCAGCCTGTGGCACAGAATTTCCGGAGAGGAGAAGGAGAGAATACAGAACAATCTTCTTGGTGCTGAAAAAAGTCCGA